CAGGGAGGATTTGTAGTAAATATATAAATAAGGTATATAGAAAGAGGTTGTGTCAGCAAGGCAAGGGCACTGTCTCTCTTCTACAGTGTTCCTTGTACACGGAGCATGCTCTGGTATTTGTTGGATGGATATGGTCAGGGTTCAACCAATAGCAACTACAATGGCTCTCCTTGCTATTTGGTGATTCTGTGCTCAAAAGGAAACAAACAAACAAAAAAACCCTCTTTAACCTGTTGCAGTCTCCATCCTTTAAAAAACATATACACACATACAAACATTGCACAGAGAGCAAAGAAATCTAGAGTTTTAAATCAGTGTCATCACTTACAGAAACACATATTATAACTTAGTTATACACATTGGCACAATGTATTTTTAAAAGGTATCTTGTAATGTACTCCTAACTGCCTCTCTGAGGGCTAAATAGGAGAATAAAAAGGATTGGATAGAGCCATACAGAGCTTGGAGGGACAGGGGCCTGGCCAACACGATGAGAACAGACCTTTCCATTAGTCTGTAAAACTGTCATTCACAGCTTCAGGTATGAGGCAGAAAAAGATTAGACCTCCTTCCTCTAGATATGATGAAAACATTTGGGGAAAGACATACCTTAAAGTTGTGTGTGTGTGTGTGTGTGTACTATTAAGACTCTAGGAAAGAATGGAAGAAATAAATGATACACTGGATAAGAAAAACATAATTGGAATTTATCTTGGAGAGCAATAAGCATCATAAAAGAAAACAACCAGCCTTAGGTCTTCCACAGCTGGTATCTCCGTTTCTTTATCTTTTGTTAACTTTTCCAGAAGGCCACTGAGCTTTCTTTACATACTTAATCTTTCTTGGAGAGGCTGGGTATGCACCTCTCTCGTTCTCTCCTTTTCTACACTCCCTCTGTTGATTGTTCTCTGCTAAGCCTCCCACATTCACGCTTCTACTGCAAGCCCATCTATCATGCTGTCACTTCACGCCCTCCCGACCGCATGGCTTCATGTCATGAGTGTAACCATACAGCCCTGTAGTGTTTTTCTTCTTGATTGTGGCATTTCTCACAAAATGTGTCACTTTTAAGTATAATTCTGAAAACAACAGTACTATTATGATACAGTTAAGTGAATTCTAGATGTCTTATTCACATTTTGCTGATAAAAATAGTCCCATCTCTTTGACCTCTTTGAGAATTTTATGGTAGAAGACTTCATTTAAGTTACACTTTAAAATAATCTACTACATGCTTGAAATTTGCTATAAGAGTAGATTTCTCAACACACACACACACACACACACCAAAAACAAAAGCAAAAAATAAATAAAGAAACAATCAAAAACCACCACCAGCAAAAAAAAAAAAAAAAAAAAAAAAAAGGGACGTGAAAGGCAATATTCTGTTCCTTACCTTGATTTAGCATTTCTATAATGTGAGACACACTGCAAAACATTATGTGGCATTCTATAAACATATAGATTTATTTTATTTTCAAATAAAGATGTATTTACTGTAAAAGAGTACAGTCTAGGCAGTATATTCTTTGGATTTATTTGGTTTCTTTCTTTGTTTTTTTTTTTTTGTTTTTTTTTTTTTTTTTTTTTTTTTTTTTTTTTTTTTTTTTTTTTTTTCCTGGTGATGCTGGTACATGGACAAGTTCTCCTATCTGGCCTGGAACTGACTATGTAGACCCGGCTAGCTCCAGACTCACTGAGATCTTCCTTTCTCTGGCTCCAAAGTGCTGAGGTTAAAGGTATGTGCCATCATGCCTAACTGAATTTGGTTAATGTAAAGGTTTAAGTGAGAGTGGCCCCATAGGCTCAGATACTTGAATGCTTGGTCCTCAGTTTGTGGAACTGTTCGGAAAATGGTGGAAAATGTAGCTTCGTTGGAGGGGGTGTGCTACTGGGGTACACTTTGGGATTTCAAAAGTCCACATCAGGGCCAGTCTTTCTCTGTTTCTATCTCTTTCTAACCCTCCTCTCTCTGTGTCTCTCTCTGTGTCTGTCTGCTGCCTCTCTCTCTCTCTCTCTCTCTCTCTCTCTCTCTCTCTCTCTCTCTGTGTGTGTGTGTGTCTGCTGCCTGTGGATCAGGCAGTAAGTGCTCAGCTCCTGCTCCACTGATGTTGCTTGCCTGCCGCTATGATTCATGCCATTATGATCATGGTCTAACCCTCTGAAACTATAAGCAAACTCCCAATTAAATGTTTTCTCTTTTTTGTTTTTAAAATTATTATTATTATTATCATTTATTACAATTTATTCAATTTGTATCCTGGCTGTGGCCCCCACCCTCCCTCCCTCTTCTCCTCCTATGCCTCTCCCCTAGGTTCTCCTCCCCTTCTATTTGACCCTAGCCTATCTCATCAGGATTGGCTGCATTGTCTTCTCTGTGGCCTAGCAAGGTTCTACCCCTCAGGGGGAGGTGATCAGAGAGTCTGCTACTGAGTTCATGCCAGACAGAGTCCCTACTCCCCTTACCAGGGAATCTACTTGGAGACTGAGTCTATGGAATACATCTGAGCCAGGGTTTTAGGTCCTCTCCATGCATGGTCCTTAGTTGGGGCATCATTCTCTTCAGGACCCCCTGGGCTCAGTTTTTGTTGTTTGTCTCTACTGGTCTCCCAATGTTCTCTTTTATAAGTTGCCTTGACCATGGTGTCTCTTCACAACAATAGAAAAGTGACTAGAACAGTTGATTTCTTCCAAGTTCTTCAGAGTTTACTTAATAGAGTATTCTCCTTCTCTCCCTCCTTCCCCCCACCTACTCTGTCTCCCTCCCTCCATTATTCCTGAAATTAATTCTGCAAGCATTGGCCACTGTTTATGTGCTCTACATTCTGGGCTGGGTTCTGAGTGTGTAGGACACAGCAGTGATCCATGTTCCACGGGGCTAATGTCTGAAGAAGGCCATTAGGAAGCAAGTGCCACAGACATGCTCATTGCTAGTGTGTGACAGACACTGTGACAGACTGTCAGGGTGGACTCACAAGAGAGATCTACTGAAAGGGGACAGGAGGAGGAACAGCAGAGGCAAAGGAAGCCACAAGAAGCTAAGGAAAACCAAACTAAAACAAACCCGTGGAGCCGAGCACATCAGCAAAGGCACAAAGGCTGGGGTAGGGAGAGCAGGGAGATACAGGACCTGTGAGCTTTGGGTTGCAGTCCAGGTGTAAGAGGAGCTGCTAAAAGGTGAAGCAGGGGTGCATGACCTTGTTTATGTTCTCAAATACTTTGACTACTAAATAAAGGGCAGATTTAAGGGGCTTTTAGAAGGGAAGTCAAGTGACTTAGAAGGCAGGACCAGGAGGATGTTATCCGTGACTCTTGAAAAATCAAGCAGCAGAAACTTCACATTGAAACAGTCCCAGTCAGTGGGGCACAGGGGACTTGTTCACCGCACCTATAACGGTGTGCTATCATGTTGTCCGTCTGTTTACATCCTGGTCTCTCAGCTTTGTGCCGAACTTTCCTACTGAAGATGGCGTTGGGTATGCCTACTGAGCCTAGTCCACTGTGCACTACTGATAAATATTTACTAAATAGTTTGATGAATTAAAAAGCAAAAGAATTCCCAGCTTGAACATGAGCATGCACAATGGAAACAGACACTTACTTCTGAGAAGTGAGTGATGGTCTCAGGTCACAGATACTTTGTACATATTTTTTTGTATGTTCCCTTCTTGAGGGCTATTTTAAACTTCCACAGACATAGCCCCCAATTACCTCAGCACTGCTGGGTTATGAGGCCTCTCAAAACAACTCTAATTGGTTTTTAGGCGATGGATTTGAGAGGAATGAATAGTTCCTTTTTTTTTTCTACAGCAAAGAAAGAAAACAGCCTTTTATAAAAGCCCCAGATGTGCTATTTTCCAACAGTTGGTGGTGATTCAAGCATCCTTCTCTACCTGGTACCTCAGGTTTGTTAAAGCCCAGAATCAAGCCCAGAAAACTCCAGGCTCAGTCACTCCCAGAGAGAGAATGAAATGCAGGCCAGAGTCTTTCTGAGCCAGCTTCCTCCTGGTTTACACTGAGAAGTACAACTACAGTGTGATTCATGTCAGCTGGGGAGGCCTGGTGAAAGTTCAAGGTTCCCTCTCTGGGCATCCATTTCTTCCCTTTTCCTTGACTATATTTGAAATTTCTTCCACAAAGCACTTTAACAAATGAAATAAGTGATCATGTAACTCTTGACACATTTCGGTGGCAATGCCAACCCCCTGCCTTCAGGTTTAAAGGGCTGAGATAGATGAGGTTGTCATGGCGATGCTGGTAGAGAGAGGAGAGGGTCTTTGTGCACTCGTCAGTGTTGTGGAGAGGAGGTGATGAAAGCGTAGGCTGGAGCCCCACTGCAGATCTCCCCACTTTGCGAAAGGTGGTCCTGCTCCTCACCAGCTGAGTACAAGCATAACAGGGAGCCTGGCATCCGTGCTCACAGCTCAAGACTCAGGACCTCCGTCTCACGTGATTTATGAGACTTTGATACCTTTTGACTTCAGCTCTTACATACAAAGGACCATTTCCCCCGCAAAGGCTCACTAATGGAGGCTCTACAGGTGTCCTCAAAGGAAGTCAAAGGCGGTGTTTGATTATTTACCATTGAACACACTGCACAGGGCTCATGTGCACAGCTGATGATATAATTGGATGTTCTGGGAGAGAGGACAAAATGAAGGTGTATAGAAATTTCAAACACTGAAAGAAATATTCCCCCCAAATTGCTCACACATGTGTGGGATTACCCAGCCATCCTTGGAGCTTACTGAAAATTTCAGGCAACCAATAATTTCGTCATGATTGAGTAGCTGTGAACTAAAAACTTACTTCCCTACCCAATGCCATTTTGTTATACATTTTAAATGAAGGAGCAAATTTGTGGTCCGACAGAGAAAGCTGTCTGACAGCATGGGAGAATTTGTCATCCTCATCCACATATATCATCACTCCATGCTTTAGGTAACTTCACCTGTACGATGTGCATGCATGAGGAGACAAACTATGAATGGAGGAAGTACCTTTGCCGACACCTGCATGCTGTTCTCTTGCATGTTCATGATGGCTTCAGAGATCTTGACGTCTATTGGGTCCATGACGGACTCAATGTTGAAGGGTCCTTCCAGCCTCTCTGCCACCAGGAGCATTGCATCTGGGAAAATGCAAGGATGATATTTATTTCAGAACAGGGCCCTTCCAAGTTTTTAACTTCTGTTCAAACATTTATAGACAGTTGGCTGAAAAAAAAAAACAAACCATTCAACCATAAGACTTTATGTGTTCAAATGAAATGTTAAAATCATACTATGCTTTATTTCACTTGAAGATTTAGAATTATTTCTCATGTATAGAGCCATGCCTGAAATACAAGAAAGTCAGTCCAAATTCAGGAAGTTGAACATAGATAGTTCTACATGAATAAGAACAAAGTTTGTTTAGATAGGAACTGCATTTTGAAAATGGGTTTTGATCTCCATTACAGATTGAATCTAAATTCTACAGAGGTTTATGGTTTAAACAATTGGCCCCATGGTGGTTTGACTGAGAAATGCCCCTGAGCCTCAGGCATTTGAAGACTTGATCCCTAACTGGTTGCACTATGAGGGAGGTGTGGCCTTGCTGGAAGGATTCACCACTAGGGATGGTGAGGTAGGCTTGCAGAGATCAAGGTCTTGCCCTCCTGTCTGTAGTTCAAGATGTGAGCTTTCAGCTTCCTCTTCCGGCGGCCATGTCTGCTGCTCGCTGCTATGCCTCCCTGGGTGCTGAGAACGGCTGTCCTGGAGGGACTCTCAGATGTACTTCTGTTTCTGGCCTGAGTTCTCTGCTAATCGTCTGCATGATGACGCTCCTGCTGCCATGGACAAAGCTGCTCCCACCCGAAACCCCTCCAAAACCAGCTGAAGCGGGTTCCTCTTCCGAAGTTGTTTCTGTCAGGTATTTGCTCACAGTGATGGGGAAAGCCCACAAGTTCCCTTCTTTGGAAAGATGGGAAATGAGAACACTGAAGGACTGATTTGTGGACTTGGACACTCAGCCATCAAGGCCCAACCAAAGCACAGCTCTCTGTGTGAAGAATTTTCTAATGTTATAGATGCAACCATGTCCTTCCTTTGTGCTAACACTCTACCAAAAATGCCATTTCATTTAGGCTTTTCAATATTCCCTATTGGATAAAGGGCATTTTCCTCATTTGGTTTGGAAGATGAAGGCTGATTCTGATACACACAACATGGTGTATTCTCCTAAATGTCTGACGAGTTGCAATGAATTAAATTGGGCCTGATATGGGTAGGGACGCTGGTAATTGTGACATGGAGGCTGAGTTATGCATTGGGAGCCATTCTTCCCTGATTTCATTAGCTGGAAGGCCACAGGTAAACGGGATATACCAGACTGACTGCTGAACAGGAGTGTGTCTGCAATGAAGGAGCAGGGTCTGCTCCAGTGTCACTGAACACTGGCCTAGCTTCTGTTCTTGGTAACCAGAGCATAGTAATCCTCTTTCTGCGTGGGATGTGGAGTAGCACTTTTTCTGGTGATGAGAACGAGGCTGTTAATGAAGAGCTGTGCATAGTATGGCTGAAGAACTAATTAGTTACATCTGATTTAAAATAGCCACTCCAGGCCAGCAGCCACCGTGTTAAACTGCATAAGCTAGACTTTTAACTATACAGTCAGTAGATCTCAAACTTCTCAGCTGCCTAAGCTTTTTAAAAATGAATCTTAAAAGAGTTTCTCCCTTCCAGAACAGTCTACATTTATTTTCCAATGCTTACAAAATGCAGAAAAGGAAAACAGAGAAGACTAATAAGCCTATAACCCCACTTCCCAGAACGACACTGTGAACACTGTGGTAGATGCCCTATTTATTTTTTCTTTGCACATGAATATTTAAAGCATGCAATGAAATATGCTGTGCATATATCATATAATCTGCTTTCTCAATGTACTATATTATTAATGTGAAATGCTGTTTATAGTTAGCTGTTTTACAGTACTAATGTGAGGAAACCAAATTTTATTTTTACTGCATACCCAACCATGCTCAACCCAAATCTAACATCAAAACATTTCCAGGGCTGTAAAATAGCTATGAATTAGGATGGTGAGAAACCTTTTAAGAAGATTTTTTTAATATAAAAGTTATAGAACTGTCTGGAAAGTAAAGATTCATGTTTTAAAAGAGTCCCGGGCCTTATAAACAGTATCAGTTCTTGGTGTTATCAAATGTTCTTTCTGCCAGATCTCATAAGAGAGTCCCCACTGTATTCTTCAGGGAATGAGGAAGAGCTGGCCGTTCAGGGCAGAATCAGTAGCAGAAAAAAGCTCCTACTGTGTCACCCAGCTCCATGCTCCATCCCACATTATCCTTTCAGGTGTATATGGACCCACAGAAATGCATGCATGAATGACATCACCTATGGAAGACTTCCATTTATTTCCTGACACTTTTCTTAGATAACACAGATTTATCTGTATAGTCACGGATCTTTTAACAAAACAGGCATTTCACAAGATCTCAATGACGTAATTGCCAATTAGGTGGAAAGAAGATACCCATTATTTCATTGTAGTAGGTCATTGTGAAATTCATTTTCTCCTTTGGGTTTGAGGGGCAGTTACATGTCTGAAAGCTGGTTGCTTCTTTTCTGTCTCCATATCTGTTTTTGTGTACTTATCAAAAATAATATCTCTTATTAAAAACCTTCGCAGCAGGCTTTCTGGTGAGGATCACCTGCTGGAGATAGAGGGAACCTTAAAGAATCAGGAAGATCTAGGATGGGAAATGCATTGAAACCACAGAGAGATGCAAAAGATGCAATTAAAGGAAAGGATAGCTCTGGGATCCTTGTGTGCTTCATAAATGCCTAAATCATTACACGAGAGTTGGTCTGTCTCAATATATGTATCTATCATGGGTAGGCTAGGATGTAAAGAAATAACTTTGCTCATAAAAAGTCTGTAATAAAAAGGAGACAATTTTGGATTGTACACTAAGAATTTAGCATATGGTCTGAAAAGAGACTAAAAAGTCTTTAAGATGTTTCTTATTCTAGACCATAAATTTTAGAGAGAATAAGGGTGTGTGTGGAAATAGTTAGAAGGAAGAAAGGGAAGCGGGAAACAACTAGATTTAAATTCTTCTTAATTGAAGTAAGGCTTCCTCTTTTGCGAGTCCTCCCATTTCTAGGTCAGGGTTGATGCACTGTATTTGTAGCATAGAATTGGGAACATTCTTTAATGGTGTCTACCCTTCTGTTCCATGTTGTGTCAAGATCACAGCACTAGCTTTGTAGGTGCCTGGACTTACAAATTCAACCACCAAAGCACCATGAGAATGTTCAAGGTGGGGCGGAAAGATGCTCTGGGGGCAGGCAGTACTTCCTGCTCTTCCAAAGGACCCGGATGTGATTCCTGGCACTCAGGCCCGCCTGAAGCTCCAGCCCCAAGGGTTCTGGAACATTCGTCTGGTATCTTTTGGCCACACACATGGTGTATCCATCCATGTGCATGCGTGAGTGCGCACACACACACACATCTGGTGGCTTTGGAAACATGGTCCTCCTGAGGAACTGTCACAATAAAAACACTGAACCAAGTGTCCCTGTACTCAGGTTGTTGGTTCTTCTGTTTCTAACGTCCATGTCAATGTCTTTGTTTTACTGTCTGAATTAATGTAAGATAATTTTTCCTTAAATATTTATTTTTAAAATTACGATTACTAGTCAGAATGTACTTCTTTTGTTTCGTTTTGAAATTTATTCTTTGAGAATTTTATACATGCATACAATGCATTACAATCATATCAGTTTTCTATTCCTTGCCTTTAATTCCTCCTGAAATGCTTCCGCGTTCATTTTCTTCTTTAAATACATATAAACACGGTTGTATACACATTGACCTCTTGCCTTTGTGTGAACACACAGGCGAATGCACCCACAAGTGCACACACAGCAGACATGCACACCCCGAAATTAGTTTAAGAAAATAGAACTCCAGAGAGTCTTATGAATCCAAATGTTTGCAGTAAATAAAATGCAAAACAAATATACAGCAACAAATTGAAACACTGCCTTCCTTCCACTAAAATACGCAAATGTTTACAGCAAAAAGCTGAGGCAAATGTTTACAGGAAAAGCTGAGGCAAGATTACATGTGAAACATCAAAATAAAAGCACATATATTCCTGGCTGCGGTCATGCTCAGGTTTTTGATAGGAATGGAGTAGGACTGCAGGCATCAAGTAGGTTTGAGAGGCTGCTAGGTTGTTTGTAAATCAAGGCCATTCACAAGACAAAGCTCACATCAGATGCTACACACCTGAAAACCAAATGCACATGTACCCAGGCAATCATCCTCACCCCACATTCTTTTCTGTGGAGGAGATGCAGAACGTGGTTAGAGGAGGCAGCCGTTTAGAGTATCTACAACTCGCCATGCCTGCTGACCGGGGTCCACTTGACATTGCAGGAATCACACTGGCAGCTCTCGGCTGTCCAGTCCCAGACTTTACAAAAGCGCAGTGAATGGTGGGACCTCTGCAGCCTCAGCCCCGGTGCCTGCTGGGGAGAGGCTCTGCACAGTCCTCTGAGAAGCCTAGCCCATCTCTGCTGTCTAGCTTGCTTCCCACAAACAAGGCTCCTGCAGGTTCCCTGAGACTAAGCAGAGCCTCTCTCCTGCCTTGGAGCTGAAGGAAGCCTGCCTCTGGACAGTTTGAGTCCCTCTCTCATGATGAAGTGAGAGAAACACAAACTATGTTTGCGACATCAAGACAGTAAGAGGTAAGTTTCTCTGAAGCCAGTTAAATCCCCCATGGCTGTCCTTGCTCCAAAGCCACTGTCTTCAGCTGTCTTAGTTTTCTCTGTGCCATTACACTTGGAAAGATTTGCAATGCGATTCTCAACTCTTCCCTTGGAGCTGTTGTCTCCTGCAGACCAAACAAGGGCTCTGAGTGCTCAGCTGATTATCAGATGATCCTATTTGTGCTTGTGTCCTGTGTCATCCAATGTATGAGTCTCTTTTAAAAAGGCCCCTTGCTTGTGGAAAATAAAACCTGAATGGCTTAGAAAGAGCTGTTACTTTGGCATTGGTTACTGTCGCAAACCGAGAGATACTCTGTTAGCCCACTGGTTTTGATGCAGCCAGCCAAGA